GAGAGGGGCTGCCGGCTGGCACGCGGCACCGGGCCGGCCGGGCTGCTCGCGCTTCCCCTCTCCCAGCCCTGTGCTGCCTGCAATGTAATGTGTAAGCAAGAGCCACCGTACCGGTTCATAAATCAAACAGTGGGTTGCAAGCCGATCTGCATTTCCCAAACGTATTGAATCCCAGCAACAGACGTGCCCCGGGAGCTGGAGGCAGGAGCGTAGAGCCCTGGAAGCCATGTGGATTTTTTAATGATAAAATACATTATGTGGGGAAAGGGGCGGGGGGGAGGGGGATCACTCCCAATATAGGCAGAGCTCAGCCTCGCTAGGTTGTGCACAGAGGAGCTATTTTCTTGTTATTTCATATGTGTGTGTGCATGTGATCGCTGGCTGGCGTTTTGCAGCACGGTGCCAGGCAGCTCCCGTCCTGCCTGGGCAGCCTGGTCCTGCTCCCACTTAGGCGACTAGCAAATCCCCATTGATTTCAGCGGCTACCGGCCGAGGGCAAGACACTTCCGTGGGGAGCAAGCTGCCTAAGGAGGAGCGGGCTTGTCTTCTCGTTAGGCATCCCGCTGGGCATGGGCTTGACCCGGTCCTGTTGGCCCCAGGGACTTGCCAGGGCTTGGAGCGTTTGGGTCAGGTCATGCCACTGACACCGATGCAGGGAGCTTCCTCCCCTGTGTGCAAAGTCCCATCCGAGCCAGCGGCACCCGAGAGAAAATGTAGCGGGGTCCCGGCTGGGTGTGCCACGGTGGTCGGGGGTATAGCATAGATGCTTTCCCCACCTACAGCAATCCCCGGCTCTTTCAAAGGGGGAGGGAAGGCGCTCTCCATCTCATTAGCCCGTCCAAGGTCTTTTTTTTTTTCGATTTAAAACGAATGAATAATAAACCGCCTGTCTATAATTAGCCCGTCCAAGAATTGGCTGGGGAGGGGGGTGATCCCCCTGGTAGTTGCCTGGTGAGCTAAGCCAGCGATTTGGGAAGGCGCTGGCAGGGGCAAGGGAGGGCCGGCTCATGCTGCTTCTGATTGTTTTTCTTCTTGCAAATTGTTTCGATGTTCATATCAGTCTTCCCGGAGTTTGAGAAGGGAAAGGATTTGTTCAATAACGGCCGAACCTCTCGGGAAATCTCCCAGGCCGCTGTTATTCCGGCTAACCCGGCATGCAGATGTGCCTTGCCACTGCCAAGCGCCTGTTTCTAGGGATCCGTTTCATACGAGGTTAAAGACGAACAGAGGTAGAGAAGGGGGATGTGGGGGGGGGACATTTATTATATCCTGCCTCTCCTCTGCTTATTGTCTAGACAAACTGACAAAGCGAGAGGGTGCAAACTGGTGTTTTCCGTACCTGTTTCAAGCCTCTTGGCCAGGGGGTAGGCAGCAGAATAGCCGGGGAGTCCGGCAGGCACCTCTGGAAGGGGCCTGAGCCAGCAAGTGTCCGCAGGGCAAGGTGACCTGGTCCTGCAGACTTGGGTGCCTGCCCCTGCTGACATGGAGGGGAGGGCTTCAAAGGGAGCCAAGACACCGGCTGCGATGGGCGGGAGGGAGGGCAGCTTCCCATCGCCAAGCCTCGCGGCTTCCTGAAATAAAAAGCCAGGTGCAAATATATGTATATGTATATGTATATGATAGGCAGAGCTCAGCTATATGTATATGTGTAGCTTTATGTCTATAACTATAGCTATATATCTCCATCTGCATATATAGATATATAGCTAGATCTAGATTTATAGCTAGATCTGTATCTCCATATCCATACCCGTATCATCTCTCTCGCAATCTCCGTCTCCATCTGTCTGCACCTCGCGTTAAGTTCTAGGATACGATCCCAAACAGTCCCCCCACCCTTCCTTTCAGCTGTATAACGGAGGTCTATTTCTGGACAAATAGCTGGGATCAGAGCGGCTCGGTGGTGGTGGTGGTGTGTGCGTGTGATGGTTGGGGGCGGTGGGAATGGTACAGGAGGATCCGAGGAGTTTACGAAGGATTTACCAAAAGGGCTTTCCTTTAATAGGCGCGGGAAAGCTTCCACCTATCAGCAGCCTCGACTCCGGGCTTTCACTGATTTTTTTTTTTATAATAGGTACTTATCACAACTTGTTCTCGCGTGTGCACTGGGTTTTTGTTTCCCCCAAGTTGTCACGAAAGAATGGGGGTGGGCTCCGAATTTATTTGGAATATCTAGATATATATAATGCCATATATCATGCATATATCCCGTGTGTGTGTGTGTGTGTGTGTGTGTGTGTGTGTGTGTGTGTGTGTGTGTGTGTGTATTTACATGGGATACATTACATATATGATATATGGGCTCATCTACATATAGGACATTCCATATATCAAGTGTATATCCCACCTATATATCTATATATAGATATCTAGCTAGATATCTATATATCTAGCTATATATCTCCCATATATATGTGTGTGTATATATGTGTATATATATGTATGTGTGTATATATGTGTGTATCCCATATATACATATAAATATTATGTGTATCTCCCATATATAGATAATCCCATATATCATGTATATTTTGCATGTGTATGTGTGTGTGTGTATGTATGCATTGTATATGTATATACGCACACATTTATGTATATACACATCCATGTATATGCATATTCTCAGGCCTGTATATGTGTGTATATACATATACATATTACCTATATATATATGGTATATATGGTATATATATATGGTATATATACGGCCAAGAGCCAGAATAAACGCAGAGCCCCCCTCCGGTCTATGACTGTACGTGTTGTGTGTGTATATATTTATGTGTACGTGGGGGTGTATGTGAGTGTGTAACATATTTTATTTCCCTAGATACGGTATAATTTTATTTCCCTAGATCTGCTCTAATGCATTCACAGCCCGTCTCCTGTTTTGCTCAGTGAGACCGCTCCTAGATAAATACTCGGAGCTTCAAAGAGCCCGACGCAGATGATGGTGGCAAGAGTTTATTTTGTCTTCAGGGTTGAGGAGCTAAAAAACCCTCCCGGAATTGGTTGGCTTTGACCCCCCGGGGTGGTAGTGCCATTCCTGGTTTGGGTTTGCTTCTCGCTCGCCCAAATCCAGCCCTGCCGGGGCCGCTCGTGTGTCCCGTAATCCTTCCTGTGCGCCCCGCTCCCCCGCCCGCCGCAGCCCCGGGGGCACCGCCCGGGAGCGCCCGGCTGCTCCCAGCTCTGCTGCGGACGGATCGGCATCCATGGTCACTAGAGGTGGTACACAGGGAAGACAGCAGAAGCCAAGGGGAGGCGTCAAGGGCTCAGTGCTGCCCGGGCCCCCTGACCCAGGGAGCGGGTTGCTTTCCCAAAGGGCTGCCGGTTCACTTCTCCGGAGCCCTCCCACCAGCTCCTACCCCAGCGCTAAGAGGCGCCGGGGCGAGTTAAAGCCAATCCAGCGGAGTGGAAACGCGAACAGATAATGCAAGGCAGACCCCCAGGTCCACAACAAGTGCTTTTCCGGAGCTGGGGGAGCTGTTTCCACTGCCCAATCGCTCGGGCTGGCGCCTCATCTGTGTCCCAGTTCAGCCTGCGAGCAACACGACACTGCAGGCTGCAGCCCCCTGGGGTGGCAGAGGTTGGCTCCTCGCCTATGAATCCTGGATGAACCCGTCTTTAGTAACATGCTGCTCTCACCGAATAAGCCCCGCCGGCCTCCACCTCTTAACAAGCTGCCTGAGCGATGGGGGTGAAGGCAGAACGATTGCCTCCTGTTTAGATTTGCCTCTGATGACCAGGGAAAGGCTGAAAATTGAGCCAGAGATTTGGAAAGAGAAAGAGAGAGTTTATGCATCAGTTCCTTCTCTATCTGCT